AGAAAGAAAGAAAGAAAGAAAGAAAGAAAGAAAGAAAGGAAGGAAGAAAGAAAGAAAGGCCAGAAATATACAGGAGTCAGACATGGGAGAATTTTTTTTTTTTTTTTTTTAACCGGGGATTGAACTCAGGGCCTTACGCTTGCCAGAGAAGCACTTATTCCACTGAGCCATCTCCCCAACCTGAGTAAAATTTAAATGGAGAAGATAGAGATAGAGATAGAGATAGAGATAGAGATAGAGATAGAGAGAGAGATAGAGATAGAGAGAGAGAGAGATAGAGATAGAGATAGAGATAGATAGAGATAGAGATGTATGTCTTCATGTGCACATAAATTATACATATATTTAAAGCTCCAAATGTGTGCCAATCACCTTTTAAATATATTAATAGATACCAAAGCAAAATAGTTGAAATATTAAGGGAAAGAATGACAAATGGTTCAGGCAGGATGATTGTGGTGTTGGCCATGTAAATGAAAGGTTAGAGTAGGTTAAATTAAGAGTGGTGTTTGAAGGAAGAGAGCAATCTAAAATTCCTTAGTGAGAGATTTAGGGAAATCGAGGGTAATGTTACTCAGTAAAAATATGTGAGGCACATATGTAATTATAAATTTTCTAATACTCATATTTTAAAAAACAAAAATATAGTTTAAATTAATTTTAACAGATTTCACCTAATCCAATATATCCAAAATATTATTTTAACATATAAATTCATTATGTCTTTCATACTCAGTTTCAACTCATTATTTCATATACTCAGAGCCACATAAAACTGTTAACTAGAAAATAAAAAATAGGAAAAATGAGTAAAACCGGTAGCTTTGGAGCAGAAGAAAAACTTGAATATAAAAGAAAACAGCATGCTTTAAAAACAGTGAGTGTAGGAAATTTAACCATGAAACCAATTAATTCGTACAATTAATATGAATTATTAGTTATAATAGTAAAACAAATTTAAGGAACCAACAAGACATCTACATAAAACTATAAAGCAAATTATTTAAAAATGTAAAACTAAAATGAATAATTAAAGTGCTGCTCTAGCACTTCAATTAGCTTAACTTTGAGGGTAAAAAGTAATGAAAGAGGAAAGTAAAGAAATTAGATCTTTTCACTGTGAACAGCAAAAATGCACGCGCGCACACACACACACGCACACACACACGCCAAAAGTTGGCAGCTTCCTATAAAGGTAAACACAGGTTGGAAAGTTATTGCTTACCCGACTCTCATCTAGTCAGCCTGCCTGTTGTCCTTCAAGACCAGTTCATATAGAAACGGCCTCTGTCAGAACACGTCACTCCTATAAGCCACCTGCTGGAGCTCCTGCGTTTGGGTGTGAGAGCCAAGGTGCAGTGTTTGCTGGCTCAGGGCTGTATATCCTCGTGCTATTTGCAGTCAGGGTTGTGATACACAAAAGCAAACAGCCACACACTCCATTCATACATGTTCCTGTTTCCTTTTCGCTTCTTCAGAGACCAATGATTTCTTTCTTCCTTGAGGAGTACAGATTGTCCCGGGTAGAATCCTGACCAAAACCCCCGCTAGGAGTTGGGACAGCTTAGCTGAGGCACTGGCGCCAGGAAGGACCCACATCTGCGTGCGCTGCTGGAGCTCAGCACAGGCGACCACGAGCGGCCGGCAGGTCCGGCCCTGACCCGACACACTGAGGCTCTGTGTGAAGAACTCCCTGGTTCTTTCCCAGCCGCTCACGGGGACAGGAATGCTACTGGTAAGTTTCCATAAAACCCTTGTGTTTTCTTGGCCTCACGATGAAACACTTCTTTTTATTAGCCCATATTGACTAATTATGCAATATTTTACTAGAGATATTGTTTAACTGTGAAAGAAATAGGGCATAAAAGGAGAAAGGGACAAAAATGCTCTCCTTTGTAAGACTGTGTGGAACATTTTCCTCCTACCTCTGCTGTGCTTGCTTCCTTTTTCCTAGTCATGCCAAGTTAGGAGAGAAGTATTTTCAGTTAATTTGTAGATAGAATGAAACGAATTAAATGAAATCACAAAACCTCAGTCAGTTCCCCTCTTTCTCCCTGCTGAGCAATATGCTACCATATTTTAGTAAGAGCAGTAAACAAATTCAAGGAAGTTATTTCCAAGGTACATGGATAAATAATGCCTTGCTTGCTCTTCTATGTAGGATTAAGAGCAGGATAAACATTCCTTCTGAATATTTCTGTTGCCTTTATGTAAAAAAATCTGATGATGTAAATCTGTGGCTAACATATGTTTTGCCAGATATTCAACCCAGAAATCTGAAGTAAAATGTTAAGGAATGCACCTCAAAAATTCAAACGGATGTTATCAATTTACCTGTTGTATCACAGAAAATTCACCTCATCTCACAGTTGCCCTCTTCTGGGACAGTGGCAACTGTGTCCCTCACAACAGATTCTTTAGACTGTGCTATTTATAGCAATGCACACACACACACACACACACACACACACACACACACACACAGTGTTTCACACCTACACCTAGAGGTCCAGCTAAGAGTCACTTTTATAGCAATGCCTTCTGCCTTCTTGCTCCCTAAAATTTTCAATTTTATTTTGAAAATTCCTCATTTAAAAAATGCACATATACCTACCGTGTATATTCTGCTACCAATGTATTGTTACATTGTCTCCTTTAAATACTAATGATATCCATCCATCTATACATCTATTGGCTCAATTTCTTCATTTCTATGGTGTATCATACAGTTGTAGGCCTTAGTAAACTATCTCTGAACATTAGAGAAAGATAGAAAGCTAGATTTGAAACCCTGGCTAACTTTTTCCTTGAGAAATGAATGCATCATTAATGTGCCACTTGGTGAGTTTTGATAAATGTATATACCTATGTGATTCAAACAGAACGCAACCATGACTCCAGATCTAAAAAGTCTTTCATTCCCTATCCAGACAGCCCCTGCTTCCTTCCACTCTTTAAAGGAAAAAAGCTCTTCTTTATACAGAATATATACCTATTTTTTAAGATTCATTCATGGTGCGGTGAGAGCCAGTAGATCATTCCTTTTTCATTGTTGAATAGTATTCTGTTATATGAAAATATGAGCGTATACTTTTTCTTGTTAATGGGTACCTGAGCTTTGTCCAGTTTTTAGCTACTGTGAATAAGTCTGTTAGGCAGATATACAAGTCTTTCTCAGGGTATTTGTCTTCAGTCTCTTGCATAAATATCTAGGAGTAGAATTACCACATCAAAAAGTTTAAAGAATTTCTGGATCCTACTGTAGTTACTTTTAGCCCTACAAGACACTGCCAGGGCTTTTTCCAAAGCAACTGTACAATCAGCACTGTAGGAGAAGGGTAACCTTCCACTTCCTTGCCAATTAGGGAATTTTAATCTAAATTTTAGGACTGAGGATACAGGTAAGTGGCAGAGAGCTTTCCTAGCATGTCTGAGTCTCTGGGTTCGCCCCCAACATAGCAACATAAATAGGTACACACAGTAATGTCTCAGTTCACAAACACTTCTGCCTGCAGATAATTCAGTTGCAAGCAAAAGCATTTGGAAGAGTTTTGCTTCCAGGTCACGAGGTCTGGTGACAAACAACCACAGCCATTTACTGCATCCGAACACCAATGCCCCCAAATTGTAGAGCAGAACCAAAGTGCCACCGTACTACGGCTTTAGACCTTCTGGTGGCTAGGCGGTACCATCGCTCTAGTAATTACCTGAAGGCCAATGTTTTCTTGAGGGGATATTAAACATTTATGCATCTTCCTTTCTGACTGCCTATTCAAATTTTTGGCCCATTTTATAAAAACTGGGGTTTTTTTTATTAATTGCTTGGAAGAATTTTTACAAGTATATATTGAGAACAAAAAGTCTTTCAAGAATACATATTTTGCAAATTTTTTTCTCAGTCTGTGTATTGCTCTTTTAAATGAATATTTTAATTAATATAAGTTTAAATTTGAGGAAGTTTATAATAGTTTTTTTGTTTTCGGTTTTTGGTTTTTTGGTTTTTTTTAATGCAGGCCCTTGCGCTTGCCAGGCAAGCGTTTATTCTACTGAGCCATCTCCCTGGCCCCTGAGGAAGTCTAATTACTAATTTTTGTATAATTATTAATTTCTGGAGTCCACCAAAATATTCTTTTCTACCTGTGTACTGTAAGATATTCTTTTTTATATAGGCCTTGTGGGCTTCACTTTTATGTTTGCTTTGAAGACTATGTTGGGATTATTTTTTGTGAATTATGTGAAGCAGAAATGGTGATTCTATTTTCTTTTTCCTGTTTTAATCTTAATTTATGTATTTGGTACAGGGTCTCACTACATATCTTGGATTTATAGCAATCCTTGTGTTTTTTAGCCTCCCCATTGCTGGGATTACAGGCATGCACCACCACGCCTGACCTTGATGGCCGGCACAGCATGTCGTACTGGGGATCAAACCCAGGTCCTCGCACTTGCCAAGAAGGTACTTAGACCACTGAGCTATCTCTCTGGCCCATAAATAGTGATTCTTTGCTCTTTTTCTTTTTTTCTTTATTAAGTTTATTGGTACAATTTAGTTATACACAATGATCACATCCATCACAGCAAATTTGTACCTGTGTGTGAGATAACTTGATTATGCCTTTTTTTCCCATTCCTCTCCCCTCCCTTCAGTTTCTCTTCCTCTCCTGGTTTACAAAGCTTTGTTTCCCTTTTATCCTTTTTTTTAAAAATCATTTTCTTTTCTTTTCCCCTCCTGGATTTCCTCCTCCTCCCTCCCTAGTTCTCATGTCTTTGGAACAATTTCTTCCTGTTTCATAATCCCTGTTATACCCTTGGGTCCTTATTTGTACATTCGGTTTCTCAAACCAGAAAAATAGTGCTATATTTACACATGTCATGTATTTATATATATGGATTTCTAGATGAGCCATCAATGTTTTCTTTTAATTTTTTTTAATGTACTTAGTACAGGGTCTACAGGGTCTCACTACACAGATCAGACTCATAATGACTCTCCTGTTTTCAGCCTCTCAAGTGCTGGGATTATAGGCACTTGCCACCACACCCAGTCTCAATCGCCATCTCATTGCACCCAAGGATGGGGCTAGCACATCAGGTCCAGGGATCGAACCCTGGACCCCTGCATCTGCCTAAGCAGGCACTTTAATCTGCTGAGCTATCTGGCCAGCCTCATTCTCCAGGAGCCTTTGTAGGATATCAAAATACTATAAAATATGTCTCTTAGCTTTAGACTTTATTTAATTCCACTAAACTATGCCCATGCCCTACATGCAAAAATATTACACTATTTTGATTACTAGTTTTATGATAACTTTTGAAGTCAGGTAATGCAAATTCCCCAACTTTACACCTTTGCAAGCATTTGTGTGTGCTTTCTGCATTTCCATAGAAAGTGCAGAATCAATTTGCCAGCATCTGCAAAGCAGCACGCTAAACCACACCAAGACCGTGACCACACTGCCTTGAATTTATAGGGTAATGCAGGAACAATCTTAGCAATATTCAGTTTGCTAGCACATAAATAAAATATAACTATTTCTTGTTTTACATCTCTCAAGAGTGTTCTGTAGTTTTAAATGCAGAGGTCTTACATATCTCTTGTTAATTTATTCCTGTTTTTGAGTTATATTAAAGTATAATGTGCTCATTTCATTTACAATTGTTAAAGCTGACATATAGAAATACAATTGTTTTATATTGGCTTTGTTTCCTGAGACATTGCTAAGTTCTAATAATCATTGTGCAGAATCCTTACAATTTTGACCTAAGTATTCATGTCACTTGAATACAGAGATAGTTCTAATCCTTTTATTATGATCTTCAAGCTGCTTTCATTTTTATTTCAACCCTATTGCTCCATGTAGAACCTCCAGTGTAAGGCTGAATAAAGGTAGTTGATGTAGACCTTACTGTTCAGGGCCAACACATTCAGTATTTCTCCTTTCAGTATTATTCTAGCTCTCAGTCTTTCACAGATGTTGTATATTAGGTTGAGGAAAAGGCTTTCTATGCCTAATTTTATAAATGGTGTTGAATTCTGTCCAATGTCTTTTCTGTTTATATTGAAGTGATCATATGATCTTTTTTCCTCTATTCCATTAATATAGAGAATTACCTATCTGAATGCAAAGGTTAAACAGCCTTAAGAGGGCCAAGGAGATAGCTCAGTGACTTACATGCCTACTTGGCAAGCTTGAGGTCCTGAGTTCAGTCCCTGCTATCAAAAAAAGAAAAAAATCATCCCTAACTTTGGGCTACAAATATATCTCAGTGGCACAAGTGTATGCCAGGCAAGTACACAGTTCTGTTCCTGGAAAAAAAAAAAAAAAAAAAACCTTGAGAAAATCTAAGGTAGCCCCTACCTGCTGATCTTGTCACCTTTGATATGTATCACTGGGATTTTATTTGCTTTTCTTTTCTTTTCTTTTTTTTTTCTTTTATTTTTTTTATTTGCAGAACCAGGAATTGAACTCAGGCTCTTTGCTTGCCAGACAAGTGCTTATTCTAGTGAGCTATCTCCCCAGTCCCTTATTTGCTTTGCTTTTCTTAAGATTTCAGTGGTCATGATCACTAGGACAATTACTCTAATTTTCTCTTGTTGTTTTGCACTATCAGGTGTAACAGAATTAATGTAAGCTTCATAAAATGATTGGAAAATACTACCTCTGCTTCTATTTCCTGAAATATCTTATGTACTGATTTTTTATGTACTGATTTTTTTTCCTTCAATGTTTTA